CTTGTTTTTCTTTCTATAAGTCTCTAAAAAGTTTTAGCTCGAATCTAAATAAGACTAAGTGGTAATGGACAAGTCCATTTCTGGTCACGTGGTGTCTGGCTGTGAAAGCCTCTAAGTGGGCATAATAGGCAGGGGCAGGCATGGAGATACTGCGCGTGCACCGTGCGTACAGCTGCTGAAGGAACGTCTCGTGTTTCTTCCTACTTCTTGAGTGCTCTTACCGCTTCCTAAGTGCTTTACAACAGAACAAAGCACAGTCAAGGTTTCTCTATTTGTTTTATAGTAAAGAATCCGTTAAATTCTCTGCGCAGTATTTTCTATTTTCAAAACAAACTTTAACCCCAAAGTGAACGGCAGTGTCGTCAGCATGCTCCACACTCTCTTGAAGCACGCTTGTTATTATTTCAAATAATCTGATTGGCTGTACAAGACTAAAGCTGTCAAAAATGTCAAACCATTTAAGTTCAAAAACCATCAAAGTTCACATTCTGCAATTGTTTAACACTTTTACCTGAAGTTCTTAATCTCTAAGTACAGATTGTGTAGTTGAAATGTTCAGTGAAATCCGGCCGAACTGTGGCTCATAAAAACACGCAAGTTTTTTCACATGATAAGTAGAAAACAAACTGCTCAAGGCGAGTTTTACGAATGAACGACAGCCGAATTCACAGTAACGTAAAGATTGCTCGGGATGACAGAGCCGTAAAACTCGGCTGCAGTGACTGATGCGGCCTTTACCCCTCAACGCATTGGAAAGTAGGTTCAGTTATCCCCAGCCTCCTATGAGAGAAAAAGATTTTATGTATCCACTTGATGTGGATGAAATTTCCCAAAATGAACTTAAAGCAAACAAAGAATCATGGAAAAACCTAAAGAAATATTTAAATGACCCTAAAGAAGGCAAGGATGTAACTTTTTATGAGTTACTTGCAGAATTACGGCTCATTGAAGAAATTTAGTTATTAGCTATAATCATACACCCACTATCTTTTTGAGGAGAAAACTTGTTGAAATAAGAATTAACAATTACAACCTTGCTTGTCTTACTGCATGGAGAGCAAATATGAACATCCAATTTGTACTAGATATATATGCCAGTGCTGTTTCATATAGCAAATTAGGATCAATACCAGTATCTGGGCAACTGCCCACCTACCCCTCCCCTAACTCAACAACAGTCAATTGATAACAAGTTTGGGTTAATGTTGGGTTAGGGGAGGGGTAGGTGGGTAGTTGCCCAGATAGCAATATTGATCCGCAAATTATAATTATATCCAAAGCTCAAAAGGGTATGAGTGAACTCTTACAACAGGCTTGTGCTGAGGCATGAAAGGGGAATTCTAGCATTATTGTTGAAATAAGTACACAAGAAGCTGTCTTTCTAATTTACAAATTCCAATGTGGAAGGCATCTAGACAAATTGTATTTATAAATACTGCGCCTCCAGATAAGAGAATAGAACTTTTACAGCCATCAAGTGATATAAATGAAAGATGATTGTAAATATTTAAATAAAGGTGGTTTGATTGAAAGATACACAAAACACCCTGCTAGTCTTGAGCACCTCACATCAGCAGATTGGGCAACATGGTACAATAGCCTATTTTACAGTTGTGAACTTAGTTGCCAAGCCTTTAATTTGGAGTGAGGCTGAAGGTGACCTTGTTGTGATAGAGACCAGTATCTAGTTAGCATGATAACAAAGTAATTTGCATTTGAAAAGCAGCAAGGTTTGTATCATAACAAGGTCAACCTTAGCCTCACTCCTGTTAAAAGGTTTGGCAACCAAGCACATAACTGTAAAATGGACTGTTGTGAAACAAAATCATATGTTAAGCCATCAACTGAACTTGATAGTGAAAATCTTATGTTGGAAAATACTATTGATGATTTTAATGATGATAATCAGCCCAGTGAAAATAAAACTCCAAACAAGAACAGGAAAAGAACTAAGGCCAGAGTTATTGGAAGTGTGTGGTTAATCAACAAAGTGATCCTAGGAAAAATTATTGTGAATTTATTATTCTCTTTACTGCTTGGCAAAATGAAGAAAACGACTTATTATGGGATTACTCTTCCCATCAAGAGTATTACTTCCTATTAGCTCCCAAGATTCAAGAAAAAATGAAACAATGTGTCATGTGTCAATATATCATAAAGATTTTAATGAATTACAGGAACAGGTTAATAACATGTGGAAGACACAGATAATGAATATGACTTGATAGCACCATATACTTAAAATGTTGAACACAGTGATAAGGCACTGGGAAATGAAGATCTACAACCTGATTTTAATGAGAATTATTACTTATCAGATGACAAAGGGATACCAACAGTTGATGCAAACTATGAGCCATTAATGCAAAATAAATTGAAAGATGAAGAGTATAGGCATATGGTTCAAATATTAGACAACAAGCAAAAGGAATTCTTTTACCATGTACTGCAGTTACAATAAACCTCAGATGGGCCTTTCTACTGTTTTCTCAGTAGAGGAGCAGGATTTAAATATTATAATACTAGCAGTTATAATATTAAGTGTAATACTATACATACAGCTCTATGAACAGCTGCTTTCCATTTATTGAAGACTTAAAAGTTTTGATTCTAGTACTTAGACTCAATACTTTACGAAGCCAGCTCAGTGCAATCAAACTTATATTTATAGATAAGATATCTATTGTTGGCAATGGTATGTTTAATGTACAAATAAACAGTAGACTTAAAGACAATAAAGGAAGCTCATTACCCTTTGGTGGTGTCAGTATTGTTGCTATAGGTGATTTATTTCAGCTGAAACCAGTCATGGATGGTTATATATTTGGTAACCAGTCAACTCGCCGACGGACCAACTCGCCGACGGACCAACTCGCCGACGCCAACTCGCCGACGTTTAAAATCGAGTAGAGACGTCGGCGAGTTGGTCGTCAATCCAATACAACTTATTAGAAGTTAAACATACAGAGAAGTAAACGATATTTAGTAAAAAAACACTGGCGAACACTGGTGAACATCAAACAGAAGCTTAAACATCGGTGAACATTGGTGAACATCACCAATGACTATAACGAACGAGTTATTGTGCGACAACAACACCGTAAAGACTCATCTTGTCAATCGCTCAGATTTTTTAACGAAAACTTGGCTTTCTAGACGAGATCTTTAGTAAAATGCAATTATTTTTATTTGCAACAAAGTTTATAAGGATCTTAAGGCGAATAAAGCGAAGTAAACCTCACCAACGACTCTAACAGCTTCAGACGCGAACGAGTTATTGTGTGACAACAACACCGTTAAGACTCAGCATGTCAATCGCTCAGTTTTTTTAACGAAAACTTGGCTTTCTAGACAAGATCTTTAGTAAAAAGCATTTCTTTTTATTAGGCAATTACAGAGTAATGTGTTTGGATTATGGGAGAAATATGAAAATGGTGAAAGAACAGCGGCCCAATTAGTGAAATCGATGTCGAGATTAAACGGACCTACAAGAGCAGAGTAATTGCATGATATACATTACTTTCACATGTTCATCTGATCTTTATAATAAATGGAATTTTATCGTTTTTATCGTAAATCAAACGTTCTCGATCATGAATAAATCTTTCTTTAAAGTTAAAAAAAAAAACGTGGTTCCGCGTGGTTGCTATGGTTGTCACACAATAACTCGTTCGCGTCTGAAGCTGTTACAGTCATTGGTGAGGTTTACTTAGCTTTATTCGCCTTAAGATCCTTATAAACTTTGTTGCAAATAAAAATAATTGCTTTTTACTAAAGATCTTGTCTAGAAAGCCAAGTTTTCGTGAAAAAAACTGAGCGATTGACATGATGAGTTTTTACGGTGTTGTTGTCACACAACTCGTTCGCGTCTGAAGCTGTTAGAGTCATTGGTGAGGTTTACTTCGCTTTATTCGCCTTAAGATCCTTATAAACTTTGTTGCAAATAAAAATAATTGCTTTTTACTAAAGATCTTGTCTAGAAAGCCAAGTTTTCGTTAAAAAAACTGAGCGATTGACATGATGAGTCTTTACGGTGTTGTTGTCACACAATAACTCGTTCGCGTCTGAAGCTGTTAGAGTCGTTGGTGAGGTTTACTTCGCTTTATTCGCCTTAAGATCCTTATAAACTTTGTTGCAAATAAAAAGAAATACTTTTTACCAAAGATCTTGTCTAGAAAGCCAAGTTTTCGTTAAAAAATCTGACCGATTGTCATGATGAGTCTTTACAGTGTTGTTGTCATACAATAACTCGTTCGTGTTTGAAGCTGTTAGAGTCATTGGTGGTGTTTACTTTACTTTATTCGCCTTGAGATCCTTATAAACTTCGTTGCAAATAAAAAGAATTGCTTTTTACTAAAGATCTTGACTAGAAAGCCAAGTTTCCTTTAAAATCTGACCGATTGTCATGATGAGTCTTTACGGTGTTGTTGTCACACAATAACTCGTTCGCGTCTTAAGCTGTTAGAGTCGTTGGTGAGGTTTACTTCGCTTTATTCGCCTTAAGATCCTTATAAACTTTGTTGCAAATAAAAAGAAATGCTTTTTACTAAAGATCTCGTCTAGAAAGCCACGTTTTCGTTAAAAAATCTGAGCGATTGACATGATGAGTCTTTACGGTGTTGTTGTCGCACAATAACTCGTTCGCGTCTTAAGCTGTTATAGTCATTGGTGATGTTCACCAATGTTCACCGATGTTTAAGCTTCTGTTTGATGTTCACCAATGTCCAATTTTTTTTTACTAAATATCGTTTAATTTTCTGTATGTTTAGCTTCTAATAAGTTGTATTGGATTGACGACCAACTCGCCGACGTCTCTACTCGATTTTATACGTCGGCGAGTTGGTGTCGGCGAGTTGGTCCGTCGGCGAGTTGACCGTAAACCATATATTTAAAGAGATGAATAATTCTTAATATAGTATTCTTACCCCAAACCTTTGGCAAGAACATTTTAAGATGTTGTACAACAAAATTTAAAGAGAGATTGATACAAACTGGCAACAACAATTATCCACTGGATGCTCCTCATTTCTTCATTCAAAATGCCAAAGTAAATGAATTCTATGACAAAGTTCATCGTGTCTTATCTAGACCATAGTATTCCATCAAAGCACATTACAATGTTTTTGGAGCTGGGTTTCAGAGTCTAAGAGACAAAATAATGAAGCAAATTCTAGTTGATAAGCCAAATAAAACTAGTCAACTGCACACAGTTTTACATATTGCAGTTGGTGAAAGGACAGATATTTCTCTCAACTTAAGAACAGATGATGGCTTGACAAATGTTGTTAGTAATACTTACAGCGAGCTGGTAAACCATCAGGCATCATATGGGCGCAGTTTGACCATGCTGATATTGGTGAGAAAACTAGACAAGAAAAAATATACATCTCTATGTATAAGATATTGATCATGTAGGTGGACACCTACCGTAATTTCCGGTCGATTACCCGCGGGTAATCTGTTGATTTTGCATTAAATCCGCGCCACTGCGGGTAATAGGGAGGTGCGGGTTATGTGACAATTTTAAATTCTTCTGGAAGTTGAATTGAAAAAATTTCTCACCTACCTGCGTTTCCACCTCTCAAATGAATTTTATTGTATCAAAAGTGCCACAAAGCGGCACGAAAACATGATGCCAATTCGAGTTTATTTCACGCATAATTAGTTGCGTGACAAACAAATTTTTATCGGCACGCGTGAAAACAAAACCTTGATGGTGACAAAAATAATCCAAGGATATCCGGCGCATCAGTAACAAATTTCCAGTTTTCACTAGCTTGAGCTAAAGAGAATTTTCCCGTTTTAAGGGACTTGTTAGGCCCAGTAGAACAGGAGATATCGATTTTTTTGAGAAATTGCCGACAGTAATTTTAAATCCCAAATGCATCACCAGAATGTTGAAAATAATAGGTGCGAAACTTAACTAATTTCGCGCTGAAAAAGTATTTTAACGACAAATGAACAATGGATATTGCTCATTACGCTCCTACATGCTATAAAAAGGTAACTGACTGAATAAGAATTATAAACCTCGATCATTCGCGATAAGTGTATCCACGAGTCACCAATTAAGTTAAAATGCCTGCTGTGAAACGCCCACGTCACAGTTTTACGTTTGATTATAAGCTTAGAGTAATAACTCTTGCCGATGAAATCGGTAATAGAGCAGCAGCAATAATCAATCAATAAAGTATAAGCTAATATTGACACAGAATTGTGTACATGTCTGAATCGAAAGACTGAAATGTATCGCCTTAATGTCACGTTTTCGCCACCGAAAAAGTTGAATAACAACGTGCGGGTTATCCACCGGTGCGGGTAATCCGTTGACTTTTTTTTTCGCCGTATGCAATAATCGGCCGGTGCGGGTAATCGGCCGTGCGGGTAATCGACCGGAAATTACGGTATATCAAAACAGTGACCTTATAGTTTGCTTTTGGTACAAATAGAACAGTACAGGTTGTAATAAAACAGTTTCCATTAAGACCTGCCACTGCTTAAACCATTCACAGATTGCAGGGTTCTAATGAAACTAAAATACCATAGTTGTAAATTTTAGATACTAAAATGGCAATAGCACATATTCACTATGTAGGATTGAGTAGAGTAACAAATATAGAAGGTTTATATATATTATTGACCTTTATGAATAATGATGTTAAAAAAATGCAATGTTTTAGAAACAAAGCTAAGTTAAATTTGTCTATAACTCTTATTCACAATACTCGTCAAATATTATTACATTTGATATTATTTAAATTAAATATTACTTAAATAAAAGGTCACTATACAGATATATTGATGATGTCTGCAATGACTTGAATTATTCAAGTAACGATGTTAGTATTTTTTCTGAGACAAGACCCTTGCAAAATGGATTTTGGAATTCCTAAGATTATCCTAGGAATAAGAGTTGTGAATTTTCACAGGAATTCCTAGGAATTCCCAACTATAACAACTCTGGTTCTAAAAACCTAGAAAATCCCAGAAATTCTCAGAAATTCCAAGTTTATAGCCGACAGGACTTGGAATTCCTAGGAATTCCAACTCAGAGCACCAATGACTTTTACTGAAAAGCTGTAAATCTAAAAAATTCCTAGAAATTTCTAGGAATTTTCAGGAGTTTCTGGGAATTTTCAGAAAATTCTAGAAATGTTTAGGAATTGCTGGGAATTTTAAGTAAAAATTTGAGGCTACCAATATGAAATAAATACTAAAATTTTAAAAATTCCAGCTAAAAATTCAAGTATTCAATGAAATTTATCTACAAACTTAACTAAGGTTTACGTGTAGAATATATTTGATTGCATATTAACATCAACATGGAGTAATATTAGGATGGAATTTCATTCATTTTTCTTTTCTTGAAAACTTCATACGAATTAATCCTCAGTTACAGCTATTCGTATAAAATAGTCCTAATAAATCATTAAGTTTGGTTTGACACAAATTGTGAATAAAATCTGTTGATTCTTTTCCATAAAATACAATATCTTAAATTATAGTTATTGCATTAAATACTATCTGTCTAAAAATAGTCTTAAAATAAATCATTCAATTTTGGATGATGATACAAATGGTGTTTAACCCTTTTGCTCCCAGAGTCAAGCATTGACTTGATTTTATGTGGTTGTAACTTCTTTGGATAAAACTCTTGTGTGTGAACATTGAAATGTAAGCTGTCAAGCAGCACTTTCATGTTATCCTCATTGTTTTTTGTGATTCTGCACATTGAAATTCAACGATTTCTTCTCAAATTTTGACCTTGCACTCTTGGGAGTGAAAGGGTTAATTACAGCTAAATAGAATTGATTTGTTAATTAAAATCTTGTTGTAACTGTAACAATAAATTAGAATTAGTTTTCCTAAACTGCAGACTTAGCTACTGTTTACCTTTTTTTCCTGAGCTCACAGCTTTCCCTGTTGGCCGTGAAGATTGTCTACAAGAAGCTTGACCATTTTGTATCTGGATTCAATGACATCTGAATTTGAAAAAAAAAAAAAAATATATATATATATATATACATATATATAAATATATATTAAAAGCTCAGAAAAGGAAAAGGGCATTCATTGGAATCTCAATTTAACAAAGTGCACTGGGATTGGGAAATCTCTGTTATATTGGAGTTAGTACATCTCTCCCATAGATTTTACTAAAAAAGGGCTGAATACATTATTTTGTTTTTACCAAGGAGGGCCTCTTTATGTAATAAGGTTTGTTTAATCACAGTTTGTATTATGAATCTTGAATTTTCCTAAACGTGACTAAAGTAATCTTGAAACCTTACTGATAGATTTATTTCATTGTAAGCATAAGCTTAAGAAACTGCGGCATGCAAGTGACCGATTCCATTCTCACAATTATTCTAGTTTCAGTTACGCCGAGCGTTATGTAAGCTTAATTAAAGCCGTTATATCTATTCTTTGATGAGATTTTGATCACGTAACGAATATCGCAATTTTTACTCACCTCAAACTTTCAAACTCGTAGCTCTATAAATGGCCACTCGACCCTTGTTTGTACCAGTCAATATGTCAACTGTTGTCCCTTCTTTTGACTCCACGGCGCCAACGACTTTCTTTTCATTTACATCGCTCACGCTGTTCTCGTTTTCCCATTGAACCACAATAAAGCCTATCTTAAGAAATGTTATATTAAGCAAAACAGTTGAGAAAAGAAACAACTTAACACACGAGCGATTAAACGATGAAAAGTACATTCAAAGATGAGCGCCAAATGGAGTCTTCTTTGTTTCCGAGCACGGGCATGATCACGTGGATCTTTTAGGACTTGTCATTGGTTAGCAAAGTAGCTTGCCGATTGCAGTGTTAGAGAAGCGCACAACTTTATTCTGACTTCTCCGACCGGTTCTCTCCTTCTGGACGATGAATACCTTGGACCCATGTTCTGACGGTGATATAAATAATGATGTGAGCTCACTCTATGTAGAAATAATCGACAAGAATCGATCGTACTATAAATGCACGATTTGTGGCCTAAAGTTGTCGAGGAAACAAAGACTCGGAACTCACTTGAGTTGTGTTCATGGCAAAGGTGAGAAATAACTCAAGCCAATCACAATTTTTTAAGAGTTTCAAATAAAGTAAATCGAAGAAGTCATTTAAAAGGTGTTTTTTTCTCAAAGGGAACAGTGACTACCTCTGCCTTGTCTGTATGCCAAATGTTTGCAAAGTGTGCGGATGATCCACAAGTATTGGAACTCTTACAAAAATGTTTTGTAAGATAATAAAAAAGCAAAACAAATTACAGCAATCAGTCATGAAAACAGAGCAAAAAACTGAAAAAAAAAACAGCAACAACAATCATAAAAAAGAAAAGATTAATTAGGTGTTGAATTTGTTTGTCTAAGGCATGAAATTTCTACTAAAAATAATGTAAACAAAAAGTCTCTGACAGTGTGTTTTAGGCAACTAAGCTTGACTGTTCTAAGGTTTTCTAACAAAGGAAACCAGTAATGTAGGTTAGGGAAGTAACTTATGTTCATAACTAACAAATTTCTTCAAGTGTAGATAACAATGTAATGATTGTTTCACATATGGAAGTTGTGTAACAAGGAACAGCTGATGAATGTTTGATGATTTTGGCACATCTGTGAACATGAGACATTTTGCATCACAATAAAAACTTTTTTGAGCATGGAATCCAAGAGTCCTTTGAGGTTAGAAAGCAAATCTGTGATATGAATACATTGGATTAATTGGCAATTTGCATTTAACAAAATTGACAACTGCTCTATGAGAAAATCTATATTAATGTAGAGATTTACTAAAACTTAGTTTGAATAATAAATCTCATGATCTTTAAGTTATAAACATATACATGTATGTATATCTCCTGGTAAATTTTGTATAGCATACATTCTATTGAGCCAGAGTTTTAAGCCTCTAAAATTACCCCTTTTCTTAAAACCCTCACATTCAAGGTAATGAGAATTTCTTGGAATTTATGTGTACCTCAGAGTTTTTATATTGCCTTAAATTCAATTTCCAGAAGTTCCCAAGAATTCCACCCTTCTTAAATTATAGGTAATTTGTATAGCTGAGAATTCCTAGGAATACCTAGGAATTCAAAGTCCTCACAAAACTGGAGTCTTCCTTTCCCAGAAATTCCCAGTTTCTTAAATCAGAGCTTATTTGCATACTTAGGAATTTTTGAGAATTCCTAGGAATTCCTAGGAATTCCCAGAAAACTAGGAATTCAGTTCACAAGGGTATTCAGCCATTTAAATGATAATGACACTATGTTTGCTATTGAAAACTACACTTTGTTTAGAAATGATGTTAGAATGGTAAACAATAATGTGACACCATTTACTGGAATGGAAGTCTGTAGTCAGATTGATTTTTATCCTGGCCACGCATACTCTAGAAATTCCAATGGTATTGAAATAACTGCTGTCAGATTGATTACTACTTCATATATCCATATATTTGGAATATACTGCTTACCTAGTGTGCCACTGTCACAACTCTGCCAGACTTTATCTGATATTCTGATATCCCAGTCACCACAATTCAATTTACTGATTGGTTATTTTTAATGTTAATTGGAACAGTATCATTAGAAGGCCTTTATGTAATACATACATACATACATACATACTTTATTTGTCACGTAGGTCGATAAATGGCAGCTAAAAAGCTGATGTGGACCTACAAAACTAAAGAGTGTCTACAAAATTTAAATAATAACAATAACAAGTTGCGAAATTATGGTAAGTAAGAAAGGATGTAAGACCTAGTAAGATAATATACAGTTGATTTACAGTAGTAATAAAAAGTAATAAAATAAATAAAAGTAGTAAAATAGCTTTAATATATGTAATTTACAACGTCTTTATTTAGTCCCTGTAAACCATTAAATGTTATTTTATCTAAAATGTCGGATTTTGCTTTGAGAGCAGATTTGAAAGAAACAATGTTCGGTTTGCTCTTCAAGTACACGGGTAAGTTGTTCCATAGAACAGACGCATGGTGAGAAAAAGAAGATCGACGGAAGTCACTTTTAGGGCGTTGCACGAATAGCTTCAGATTGTCCCTTAGATTTCTCAACGGAGAGTGTTTAGTAAACAAAGAGCTTATAGCAGCCGGAGCTCTATTGTAAAATGCCTGATAGGATATAGTGGCAATCCTCTTTTTATAGAAATATGATAAGGACTTCCATTTTGTCGCTGCCAGAACTTCAGTATTGGGGGTAGATTCCTTTAGGTTAAAAATAAATCTCGCGGCTCCAATGTGAATGTCTTCCAGTGTCTGAAGTGACTTAGAAGATCCCCATAATGCAATAGAATACGCAATACTTGGAATGATACCTTTGAAATAAATTGACTCTAAGAGGCGATTGTCGAGTCCTTTTAGGTGTTTGAGTTTCTTCACTCTTGCCGAAAAACGTTTGCTCAAAGATTTTATATGTGGCGACCAAGAGAGTTTATTATCGATAAGAATCCCTAAACATGTAGCTTTGGAAACAAATGACAACTCATTTTGCCCTAAACAAATTTTCTGTAGGGGTCCGATGAATCTTGATTTTGATAACAACATTAGTTCACTTTTTGCGGGATGAATAGTCATGAAGTTATCCTTAGCCCATTTGTTTAAGTCAACGATCGCTTTCTGTATCTTAAATAAAACTTCATCAACAGTATTTCCAATGCAAAAAACAGTAGTATCATCTGCAAACATTTCAACGGAAGCGTTCGTTGTGGCTCCGGGCAGATCATTTGAGTAAATGCTGTAAAGTCTAGGACCAAGTAAAGACCCTTGGGGTACACCCGTATCTATTTCCAACAATTCTGAGTTTGAACCATTTACGGTGACAAATTGTTTACGATTATCAAGATAATTTAAGAGCCAATCGTAAAAAGAGCCACTAATACCTATAGAGTGTAATTTATCCATAAGAACTGTGTGGTTGACGCAATCGAACGCTTTCCGAAAATCAATAAAGACTACGCCAATAATATTGCTTTCATCCAAGGCTAAACGCCATCGTTCTGTAACGGAAAGTAAGAGCAGCTCGGGTGAGCTTCCTTTTCTGAAGCCCCATTGATTTAAGGAGATCAGATTGTTGCTATATAAGAAGTTATCAAGTTGTTGGCTTACAACATTCTCCAATAGCTTGCCCGGAATGCTGAGAAGGGAAATAGGCCTGTAGTTTTCACAGTCGAGAGTATTCCCCTTCTTGTGAAGACATTTTACCTGTGCCTGTTTCCACTGGCTGGGGAGTTTGCATTCCAAAATACTTCTTTGAGCCAGTGGCATAAAGCAATCCAAAAATGCGTCTCCAATAAGGTACAGCTCTTTGCTGGATATGTCATCAGGTCCACTCGCCTTGCCAGGTTTCAAACACCTTAGAGAAGATTTTAAAAGATCTCTGTTAAGGGCTATGTTATAAAGAGAGGCACTGTTTTTTCTTGCGGACTGACAAGGAGAGTTTACTGAAGAATCTTGTGTTGATTTCGAGAGGGATTTTCCAACATTGACAAAAAAGGAATTTAAAGTGTTGGCCTTTGATGTATCGTCTGCGTGAATAACTCCGGAACTATCTTTAATCGGTCCGATATTTGTAGCTGTTTGTTTTCCCTCGAAAGATCTTACTGTCTTCCAAAAATCTCGAGCAGAGGTTGTCTCATTAAATTTTGTTAGCCAATAACTTGATTCCGCTAATCTAAGGAGTTTGGTGCATTTATTTCTTGCCTTCTTGTAATCTATCCAGGCTTGTGAGCCCTTCGGTGTTTTCTGTGCTTTAAGGAGTAATTTGTAGCGTTTGTTCAGCTCTTTACGTATGGAAGAGTTCATCCAAGGTAGGCCCCCTCTTCTTATCTTTACTCGTCGAGCATGAAGGTGAGATTTCATAATGTCCTTGTATAAATACTCCCAAGCCCAAGTAGCATCGTCCAGATTGTGAAAGACATTGCAGATACTCCATGGGGCTGCAGCAAAGTCCGTTCTTAATGAGTCTAGATCTACTTTTTTATAATCGTAGACTGTTTTGAGCGTTGGTTTCTGACGTTTTCTTTTGAGATTTACGATTGCATATATTAAGTGGTGATCTGAGATTCCTAAATCACAAACACCCTGGTGAGAAATTTTTGAGGTGTCAGAGCAAATCACCAAATCAATCAGCGTTGTGGAGGTGTCAGTGATCCTTGTTGCCTTGTTGATGACATTCTTTAGATTAAATCTATTCAAAAGTTGACGGAATTTCCAGGTTGAAGAATCTGTGTCCCTGGATTTAGGCAAAAGATTAAAATTGAAGTCCCCCAATAAAATTATATTCGTTCGTTTCATCCATATGCGATCCAAAGTAGAAGAAAATTTATTTAAAAACGTAGTGTCATCGGGTGGGCGATACATTGAAGCAACTAGAAGTTTCTGAGACGCCACCGTAACGTCAATCCACGCAGCTTCTAGAGAGTTGTTTACATTTATGTCTCGACGCTCATATGCATCTAAGTATTCAGCAAAGTAGATGACCGTGCCACCGCCTTTTCGGCCATCGTTTCGATCGCATCGAGCAGTTTTGTATCCAGTAATGGCGATTTCGTCGTCAGTAATATCCTTACCTAGATGGGATTCAGTTATGGCTAAAATGTCAAAATTCATCGAAAGTAAAAGAGCTTTAATTTCCAATAACTTGTTAGGAAGACCATTTACATTGATGTGTGAGATCTTCAAACCTGGTAGTTGCAAGTCCGCTTTGAGTGATGGATAAAGATGCGAATCAGATGAGCAACCTAGTGTTGGTAGTTGCAGGTCCACTTCGAAAGATGGATAAAGATGCGAGTCAGATGAGCAATCTAGGTTTGTCTCATTGTCGAATGGTAAAGACGACCAAAGGCAAATCGGACACCACCAGGAAAATGAAGGAAGTCTTTGATAGTTCTTATATTCGCTTGGCCTGATCGAGGCACATTTTATGTGACACCACATGTTGCAGTTATCGCAATTTACCGCTCGATGATTTCGGGCAACACGCTTGTTACACACTGAACATTCATCTGGACCAGGATTTATGTCGATGTCCCCACTTGTGTAGAGTCGCATTTGATGGAATGTTGAGTGCGAGTTCGCATAGTAACATATCCTGGTCGCATGAAAACCTCGCACATGCCACAACAGGCCAAGATGGCGGATCGTTTTCGTCTTCCGTTGATTGCAGAGGCTTGCGTATACTGATATGAGAAAACGCCTCGACCACGAGAAATTCTTCGTGATGGGGATTTTGCTATTTTCTTGAAGAGAAGGCTGTCTTTCGGCGAATTTGGTGAGCGATAAGAATAGTATTGACGCGTAAAAGCAGGAGAAAATCAGAGCACGTCCTCGCGCCATTTCGCTAACCGCTCAGCTCATGTATGTATGTATGTATGTATGTATGTAAAGCTAATGAGAAGACAAGTCCTTAATGGTCGGCTAATGGTCGAATAAATGAATATTAGGTTATATTGTTTGATTCAGTATCAAATTTTCATGGCTGAAAACATAAATATGTATCAATCACACAATGCAGTGGACTGATATGTTGATTTTGCAAGTACAGTGTATAGAGGCCATCTGATTACATCAATCAGAAATATAAAACTATGTAAAACCATACTATGTAAACTTGACATCATTTGATTCACTTACCAAGAGACAATATGCAGACCTCCTTCCCTGAAGAGTTTAAGTGAGATTTGTCTTTGTATTGCCTTTTTAAGTGATCTTCCACTATGTTCCCCAAATTTTTTTACCAAAGAGAACCATCACTTCTGGATGCGATAGAGAGTCAATCTTTTTCTCCGATTCTTCTGGGCTCTCTTCGTCCGCCATATTGAGTTGAGGTTCATTCCCAGGCTTTCTCGAATCTATTTATTAGAGACCATAGATATGGACAGATGGTATCATTTTACACTACCATTAACAAAACTTGTATCAATCACATTTTTGCCAATTTTCAGCACATAAAAGTGCTAATACTAGAAACACACTTTACAGATCACAAATCAGTTTGTGCCCCTATTAATAGTTTTAGTGTAACATAACATAGTGCTAAACATTTTACTGTAATCAAAGTACAACAGAGGAGAAATTGCAAGCTTTGTAGTTCAGAGAGCTAGATTAGTTTGAAATACTTATTATAGGGAAATGCGACAAGAGTACATTGAGGTGTTAGGACCAGTTAAAGTTTAACTAGCGAAGTCAGACAATGCAACAATACTGTGATTTTTTATCTAAGAAATTTTATTGGCTTTTTCAGAATAAAAACACTACAATTAAAACAGAACTGTCTCAGTCTAGGTAAGTATATACCTGCTTTCATTTCTTTATCTTAACCTTTTAAACAAAATAACACAAGAACAGATTCATTTGAAATAGTCCTGCACAACTGTAACAAAAAAAATTTATAAACTAGAGAAATGCTATTTTACTAGCAATTTTTAACAACATGTTATAAACACTTATCTCTACTTTTCTTCCTCCAGAAACTATTGATTATCTTCAATACTCTTATTCATTTACTTTCAGAGAGAAGATCAAAAGATCTACATTCCTAAGTAAGTTGCAATATTTTTAATTAAATAAATCCTTATCTGGTAATAGCAACGATTAGTTGCCAGAAATGAAAAAAGCATGATGAAATTAGAAAGATTGCCAATTTCAAGACTGCTGATGTTTAAGGGTGATATGTTATAGTGGTTTCAAGTTTAAAAAGTTAGAGGATTTGTATGGAAAAAAATTTTCTCATGAGCAAGCCTTGCGAATCAGCAACTTTTGTGCACACAAATCCCCTAAATTCCTCAAAATTTCAAACCTCTATTCAATTTTATGCTTAAGTATCAGTGGTCTCAAAATTGGCAACCTTACTAATTCTATCTTGCGCTTTTCATTTCTTGCAGCCATTTTATGCTAGTACCTAAGTTTATGACTGAAGTGTCATGTGACCATGTCATACACGTGAAAGTTTATAGATCAACTGAGTGATACAGTGTATGATCTAAATCAATTTCTTGATTTTTTTCATCATAAAATCTACTTTAGTACACTGTTCAATTTGTAAACAGACTTATTAATTCAAATAATCATAACTATTTCCTACCTAATACTCAGTAACTTTTTCCAAACATTGCAGCCCTCCAAGGCTACGTCCACTCTTTGACTGAGGTATTGACCTCTTCGAACAGGAAAACAAACTATTTGAGATTCAACCTACAAATTGACAACTCAGAAACATAACAGTTGGTCTGCTATGTTTCCAAGTGCATGGAATTGTTGCTGTCTCAACTAGATTTAAAAACCATTGAAAATATTCTACTTAAATCTGGCAACCAAAAGATGATTGCTGACAAGGCAAGCAAGATCATTTGCTAGTTCTTGCCAGCTGAGTGAAAAAAGAACTAAAACATTCATCATCTTATATTTTGACAATCATTAGAAACTAATTCTAACATATTTAGAGAGAGTTTTCTCTTTTTTTCCCTATTAATTGTACTTTGTGTGGTAGATGAAGTATTAATGAGCCACATGGCTGTTGAAACATTTTGGGTCAGACCTTCATTAAATGTCCTTAAAAAAAAACATGTTAAAAATCACTTACATGGCACGTTATTGTTCAAGCTGGAACAATTCCATGTTGCACGTTATTGTTCCATTTAAACTAATGATATACTACATGTTATTGGTTAAGTTCTAGCTATTGAGTATTGCTCATTAGTGTTCAAATTAAATTAAACAAACGATATTCCATGTTATTGTTCAAGGAAGAGTTATTGCATATTGCACCTTATTGTTCAAGTTAGAGCAAGTGGAGATTGTACGTTATTGTTCAAAGTAAAACAATTGCACCTGGCTCGTTATTGTTCAAGAGAGAGTGATTGCACATTAAACCTTATTGTTCAAGTTAGTATTATTGCGTATTGCATGTTATTGTTTCAAATTAGAGCAATTGCCAAATGCATATTATTGTTCAAATTAGACTCAATGCAAATTCAAAGCGAAAAATCCCAATCCCAACTTTATACCTTAACAGGTTATTGTTCAAATTATGGAAATCACTGAAACAAGTTTATACTTATCAATCAATCCACTTAATAATTTTAATTTGCTTCGTTTTCAAGAAAAAAAATATGCATACTTTGTCGTCATTCTTTTTTCTGAACCTTATTTTACATAAGTAAACAAAATCAACCCGTTGGCTTTAATTTGTTTTAGCCCTTCTGAGGGCCAGAGGTAAACCAAAAACACATTTACACCCGCCAACACCCTCTACCTATGTGTGTGCATAACAAAGTTACATGGTCAAATCATGCAAATTTGATATTGTCCGTAAGAGTGTTTGCATGATGTTTTCCAGACCATGACATGTTTAGCATCACGTGATTGCTTGTTTCGTTGCGTGTGTGACAAGGTACATTGTGCACTGAATGAAGTCCAAAGACACGCCGTTGAAGTTACAAATTGCTTGCTACATTTTTCCTATTTTATCAGTTCTCTGAGTCTAACTACATTTGATCCTGACGTCTCAAATTAAGACAATCTACAATGTCGTTGTTGATGTCCGCTAATCCTATTCTAGTCAGTGCCACCATGACTCTTCTGATCGTCGCCATTTCGCCGTTCTCTTGGTACCATTTTTGTAGAACTTTATAACAGCATTCTTCACAGTTATCTTCCTCTTCCTCAGATATCGCATCAATTCTTCCTTCTATAAACCCCAGCTCTCTTGCCAGGTTTTTCCAACGATACTCCGCTTTTTCTAATACAATTTTCTTCACGTCCCCATTCGTCTTCAATGATTTGCAAACAGCATCTTTACCTAAAAAGGCGGAAACGAATATGATAAAAAATTCCAAATGGACCGCGTGCATGCTGCCTTCATCACCAGAAACATGCCGCTAACTGATTAACTACTTGTATCACAAACCCGTCTCCGAGACCAAATCAACCATGCTTAGCCCCTCTGCAATCTCGACTCTGTTAAACCTGGACATGACTGCAAGGAAGACTCACCGTAAACTCCCCTTGTTCTAGTTCCCAGGCTGAGCCCGGACCACGACAAGATAAACTACCCTGGGAGTAAGTCGGGGCTCATCCCTGCAGCCAGAGCAAGACATTTCTTTGAAGGTAGAACCTTGCGCTCACATTTACAAGAATGACTAACATTTTGCAGGGGGGCTCCGCAGAGGGGCTTCGCAGGGTATGCGACATCAAGAAATTGGAGCAACAGTCATACTTAATCAAAACTGTTTAGAATTTGGGATACGAGGGTTATTCTCTATATTGTACATCCTTACAATCCAAATTTCTCCCGTAATATCTACTTCCAGAAACAGATGAAATAAAATTATTTGTGAAAGTTCGTCAATTTTCTTCACCTAAACTCCAGACAACGTATGAACACAGAGAGGAAAATTAAGGCGTTAATAACTTATAAGAGTAAAGGTTATGCGTGGACAGGTGAACCCATCATCCTTTAGAGCTCAATTCAAATGAGTGTCATGAAACCTAAACCAAATTTATATCACAACTGCCGATCAGAGAAAAATAGTACCAGGAGCTTATTAAAGTTAGAACAAGTAAACCGCTCATAGCGTGGAGAAACGCGAGCGACACAATCGCGATTGGTCTCACTTTTGATTTTGGTCAGTTGAATTAGAAAAAGTGGCACCAGTTTTCGGAACCAATTACAAAGAGAAGTAAAACAAAACGAAACTAATCTTGGATTACTTTTCACACTCAAATGCAAACTGCTTGAGCTTTTAAAGTCGTTACCTTCTTGAAGTCGATCCACCACAAATCCGTATTCATTACAGTTACTCAGTTCCTTGACAAGGGCTTCAAAGCACTTATCTTGGATCTCGATTTTCAATCCTGCAAGAGCCTCATAGAAGCTTTGTATTGTCTGCTTCTGATTTATATTGCCTTTGATGAAGCGGGAAAGGAGATCGTCATACACCTTTGAACCAACGAATTGTCTTCCAATCTGAAGAACATGCTCAGGAAGCGGATTTGACAAGACTTCATCATTGACAGGAATACCAAAAAACTCCACTGGGGTTCGCTAAAATCACATTAAAAGTAACGAGTTCCCATTTAGATTTGTAAAAATCTACATTTTTGATTCTCAGGGCGCGTATGTTTATTTTCTACGAATTCCGCCCTGTATTCTTTATACATGTATGATAAAATCCATCTGAAATGTTACGTGATCGTATTGCATTTCCTTTCCTTTCCTTTCCTTTCCTTTTTTTTTTTTTTTTTTTTTTTTCATTTTTCTTCTCTATTTCATCAACACGCAAAACTGTCCCCTGAAAAATGTCAGCTTTGGATATACACTCTACCGTACTGTTGATCGGAATTTTGCTAATTTCATCCTCAATATCGTTGAACGGAAAGGAATTCTATTAAAAAACACGTTCAAAAATTATACAGCAATCAAAAAGGCAGTGACAAAGTGTACCAAGGAAGTTACAAATAAACCTCTTACGTTCAGCTTTCTCTTGAGAGGCGATAATCGAAAATACAATTGACACAGCAGAGTACTTTTTTCAAACTTCGGTGTTTTGAAAAACTCCACCCCTGAAAGTCCTCTGTCATCAATAACACGGATTGGAACTTGAACTTTATGGAGCTCATCACTTATAAACCTGTCGAAAATAATTCTCATCAGCACGAAAAAGGATGTATTTATTAGCAAGAATCGTTTCCGTTTTTCTACAGAAGGAAATAGCACGGATGTTATCAAAACGTCGAAAGAGGAACTGGAAACGGGGAATGGGGAGCGAATGTACAGCAGTAATCTGCATCAGAATTTAATCATTTCCCCGGGTTCCACTCCTCAATGCCCGATTTCTATAGCATCTGCAATCTATATCAGAAAGACACTAAATTAATGAAGTCAAAGTTTGAGTTAAATTCTATCAATAACAGCTTAACTTTGATTTTCTGCTGATTGTTGTTTTAAATTTGATTAAACAAAATCCCTACGTTTCCGGCCTTCTTTGAATTATTTAATGAAAACCTACTAGTAAAAAAACTTCAGACTGATAGCATACAGAAGGTTTTTCTCAGTGAAGCGTATCTAAAAACTTACTGGAGATAAAATTCCTCCATGTCAACTTCCTCAATCGCTCGGATTCCTTTTTTGAGGGAGACGTATGCTTTATCACGCCCAGGAATCATCTTGATGTGGGAACTTGAATCGCTCGGAGTGGGCACATTAGCCTGATTCTTAATTTCATCCCGCACCTTTTCTCTAAGTTGATACGGGCAGCAAATTAGGTGCAAGATGTCTTGAGAATCAGGGCGGTCTTCGGGAGGGAAGTAGGCGAAGAACACTGCCAGCTGAGGTTGGGTCCAAATAAGGCTCGACAGATATGCGATAACGCATTGATAAGTGGAGCTATCTGCAAGCCAGTCAATCAAACACGAATACCTGTAATGAAAGTCGAAGAACTGTATTTAAACTGCAATTAATCTTAGCACCAGATCGGATCTGCAGGTACATTCCTCTCCTTGGCAGCCGTTGTTTGGGATTTCAGCATTGTCTACCCAAATAACAGTAGATAAGAAAATTGAGTTTAGAAGAGTGTGCCTTTTCCTTTGTTTAGAGGATGGTATGAAAGGTGCAAAAGACAGCATCACGATGGTAATACGCGAGATAGGGTTTTTTCCTTTCATAAAGTAGATCTAATACTTAGAGTTTTGTCCAACTTTGTCTATCGTTTGCTTGTCTTTACAGTCGAGGGGGGAAAAATGCAGATCCCTTGGCTCAGTTCGGAGTTCCAATACCTTATTCATTCGGAATCAGATACATGCTAAAACTCCTATTCTCTATCAGTTATTATGTGCACAGTGCTTGCTTGATGAATCATCCTCACTTCGATATTTTCTTAACCTAGTCTAAAAGTTGATCGAAAAAAGTTCTGAGATTACCACATTCTAATTATCAACAGGAAAATAGCAGTTTATCTCCTTGATATACACGTTCAGAAATACCCCTAATTAGGGGTTCACATGTTCGAGGGCCTGCCACGCTCTGGAAACTGGCCACATATGCATTTAGCGCAATGAATAAACAAACGTACCCTGAGAAGCGTTCCACCTCGAATTTGACTGTCGTCCCGTCAAACGTCACTGGTTTCTTCAAATCTTCAGTGATTTCCCTCCATTCCTTCTGTTCACCATCAGAACTCAGAAACAATATTCTTACCCGGCATGCCGTTGGATCAGGGGAGTCATGCCGCGCGTCTCCCAAAGAAACTGGCAGCGTAATGGTAACAGGCTTCAAGAACTCAATCGGTTTGTGGCAAACTATTCGTAGTATAGGTCCAATAAGTATTTCGTTAGCCTCAAACTCTTCACGTGGTACTTCTTGCACCTAAAGAGAAATTATGTCGAAAGGAGTAAATCCAAGGATTCATTATGGTAAAGAACAAGTTCCTTTGCGGTAAAGTAAAATGGAAAAGAGGAGAATTTTCTCCACCTTTATTTTCAAATTTAGTATTTACGTGTTGCACAGACCTCCAACAGTGGAAGACAGACTCAAGCAACAAACAGAAGGTAAGAAGTAAATTTTCAGGGAACAAAACGTTTTAGTCCCAAAATTTACCGATTCTTGTCATTAGGACTTCGCTCGTCAAACGACTCGACACTTCCACCACTAGTTCTTAAAGATAAACAATCACGAACGTTTACTGTAACGAAACTAGATGCCCCTCGCATCTGTTATATTTCAGGAAAATTCTGTACCTTCAGTCGAAGAGGAATCCTTGTTTTCGAAGTAACAGCATTTTCCGGGATAGTAACACTTATACTTGGATATTTAGGCAGGGCAAAGGAACCGCCATTTGATGTTATCGTGAATTCAGGGGAAAGACGGAGACGACTCACTACTGCATATGTGGCACATTCTGTTATATCCGCTTGCACAACAGGAAAGTGTAGGTTGGGAATATCTTGGCTGGATTGATATTCTTCTTCAAAATCTATATCAATAAAACAGAGAACAAATAAAATATAGTTTAAGTTAATTTTTAGGTAACAGAGCTCATTCAAGTGTAAACCTGGGTGAACGATCCAAAAGAGTCTTGACCAAGCAATACAAGGAAAGCTACCCATCGAATTCTTTCTTTGTGGTCCACCATTATTAAGAGTCGCTCTGAAAAATGTCTCCACAGTATTTTAGCGCGTAAATATTTATTCCGTGCTCACCGTAGGGCTAACAGCACCAACTTTGACTGTTACCAGTCGAATAATATTTGGGTTCACTAGTACTGAAGTATGCGTGGCTTGGCAACTAGCAACTTTTAAAACAATCCAGCATACTCGTGAGCCACGTTAAGCGGGAGGAAAAGTATTTAAACGTGACTTGTACTTAGGGACAAAATTGATATGCGACACGTGAATTTTACTGGAAAAGGCGAGCGTGATTCGCGAAATTATGAACCAGCGTGAGGCGTGATTTGCCTCCTGAAATATACGTATTCCGTGCTTTTTTTCCTTCATTTCGTGAAAACCTCAAGATTTCCTTGAAACTTTGTACACAAGAAGAGAGATTTGAAGTTTTCCCTCTATATACGTGAAGCCTGAATTTTACTAAAATTTATTCGTGAAATGGGATTAGAGTACCCCCCCTACCCCACCCCTTTGCTACCCTTCGTTAAGATATTCCTGGAAGCAGATTCTCTCGCAGATCCACCCATATTCGACCAACACCCTCAATATCAAGTTTCTTTATCCGTAATTTAACATTAACACATTTGAAGGCTTTTCGTCCAACCTGAGATGGTTTTGAAATCTTCCACATCGGTCACTTCTTCCCATGCACCAGTCTCGTTGTCATTCCGTTTGTACAACACCAACTCGTAGCCGTGTAGGCCGGGAGAACTGTGAGTGAATGACATCTTAACTTCAGCTTCAAATTTGAAAGCTTCCTGACTGTTGGAGGAAATCTCAATCACGTTGCTGACGAGAGCCTCGTGCTCCTGCAAAGGCGGGGACAGCACTGTGGGTTTCCATCGATGGACCGTTATCAGGGTGGGCTCAGATACAGCATCACGGGGGAAGGCTAGGTGTACAGCCCCTAGCTTGATGTTCCAATGCACGTCCTTGCTAGTGAGTGTTCCTCTGCAAATAATCACAATGCCATGAATGAGAATGGAATCACCTAGATAGAAAAGAGAATTTTTCACTCGATTGTAATGCACAATGGTATCAACACCGTCTTCATTTTGGTTCAGTTTTTTCGTCAAAATTCCTGGATTGCACGCTGACTGCCAAGCTCAGTTCCGGTATATCTAATCCAGCAAAATTTGGAAAAATTCCCCCTTAAGACGCTCTTTAACCCTTTAACTCCCATGAATGACCGGGAAAGAATTTGTTCTTACGATGACAATACAATATCAACCAGACAAGTGATGAGAACGAAGGAAAATATTAATTAAGGGGTTATTAGTTGATCCACTACCAAATTCTCCAAACTAACATCACAGGAACTATATAGCAGACAGTTAGGAGAATTACAAATGAGATCTTGGAATTAAAGGGTGAAGAATGTAGCCATTTGTCCTAAACGCACAAACACACTAAGAAAAATAAAATCAATTTGTTACGAGTCCAAACTTGTTTCGTTCCCAGGAGCCAACAATTTAGCCGTCTGGTGCGACCTAAGCCGGCAGTACGCAGTTTGGCATGACATGTAACTGCCAATCTTTCCTTTTCTTACTTTTCTTCTTTCAGCTCACAACTGGGGCGGACGTACAGCTTTCTCAGGCCCTATACCTGAAATTGCTTACGGCCCTCAACCAACGATTTTTACGTGTCTTTTTTCCAATGATAACCCATAGGGCCACATAGGTCATTTCTTGTAAATTATCGTATCCTTGTGTTTGCGCAGAAATTTCGAGGATCGCCACGGGGCAAATTGCAACTCGCTAGAAAGAAATGTAAAGCGAAAGGTTGTTTCGACTTCTGAAAAATCGATTTTGGAGGAAGATTATCGCTATTCTGCTACTGTTTTAGAAACTTTGAATTTTTCTCAAACAAACTGTCACTTGACCAAGGGGTTTCCTCATGTTTTTCATCGCTTACTTCATCCTTCCAAAGAGCAATAGCTTGGTAAAAATGATTTCCTTCTCCGCTGACGAAGACTTCTCTCCTTTCAGACGTCAACATAATCCAATCCATTTATGATAATAATGCGGCGAAAAAGCATCGATATCTCTCCTAACTTGTTCTTTTTCTTTTTTTGGACGTCGAAACAACCTTCGGCCATATATTTCCTTATAACAACTTGCAGTGTTTGCCTGTAACGATCCTAGAAATCTTTTCGCAAAGACAAGGATCTGATTACTGGCAACTCATTCATTTCCACTCACTCGTGTATCTTTATCCTATCTGGTTCTTGTTCCTGCTCACTTTCTAACTCTTCGCCATCTTCTTCTTGAATTGTTAGTTGTTGCACTTGCCCACTGGCCTCTGGAATCTCTTCACCACCACTTCTAAAGAGGGCTAATACAATATTGAAGTTATTGTTTTGTTTGATGCTACAATTGGATATGATTCCTCAAGGAAAGAGGAAGCTGTTCACTGCATGAAAAAACCACACCATGTAGCGGCTGATTATGAAAAGAGTTTTGGTACATCCATTAATTCCAATTTATTTCTTTGGGTAGTTAACTGAATAAAATCTAGTTAATTAGTCTGTAGATTCCTTCAACAAATTAACAGAGTCTACTTGAATACTATTTAGTGCTACTTGTAAGTTTGTGTACAGTAGTGCATCTCAAATTGTAAAACCAAGTTATTAGTATCTGCATGGACTGCACAAATACATGTCCACTATACATGGGCAGTTTATTATACAAATAAAGCTGCCGTCAAAGGATGTTGTTAAAATAACTCATTTCCAGATGCATCTCCATTCTGTGTTACTGACCATCAATTCTCTCTTCTGGGTCAGTCATCACAGAAGATCCAACAGGAGATAAATATTCAAAACGTTTTTCAAGTGTTGGGAATACAAATTTCAGGACTGTAAATATATGAAAATCATATATGTGAACTGTGGTTGAAGAAACGAATACGGAAGCGGTCCTCGCAGTTATGAACACTACTTAAGTAGTAGTGAAAATAAGGAGGTCATGGGTTCAAATCCTGTACAGGCCTGATTCTTTTTTTCGGGCCTTATTTTCACTACTTAAGTAGTGTTCATAATTGCGAGGATCGCTTCCCTGGTATTCGTTTCTTCAACAGCAGTTCACACATATTGTTTTCATATATTTAAAGTCATTTATTCACCCCTTTGAGGGTTTACTTGGAGCCAACATAATGACTGGCTCCTAGTTGGCTTGTTAGCTCAGTTGGTAGATCGCTGCACCAGTAACGCAGAGGTCATGGGTTCAACTCCAGAAAAGACCTGAATTTTTTTAGGTCTTAATTTCAGTACTACTTAAGTAGTGTTCATAACTGCGAAGATCGCTTAGATATTTCAGGATTGAACTAGTAAGTGACCTGAACAGAAAAAAAATCAAGTGAGTAAATGATGTAAACATATCACTTACCCCATGTGGGCATACCTTAACTAAAGCCTCAACCATCCAATTTATTATTTCACATTTGTCTTCATTTAGTTTACAACTCATCTTCAGTCAATCCCCAGAAAAAGCATTATAAAAATAGCTTCACAAGTAACATCCTTTAACATTAACACTCAGTCTTACATAGTTTTAAAAATATGAGTTGTTTCTGAAAAAATCAGCAACAACTAGTACGACAATTTCTAATCGATGTTAAGGTCAACTAAAACATAACCTCATACTTAGTACTAAGCAACTTGATTTCATATTCACTGTACATAAAAGCAATTACAGGAAAAACTATACCATTCCTTAAGATCTCATTTTGAAAATTCATCTCTTCGTCAAATTAAATGTACAATATTACAGACCATAAGCTTTCAGCCAACTAACCAAGCAGTTGATGTATCCGCCTTTCTTACATATTATACTTTGGTCACCCATATCAAGGTACTGCATAAGTACAAGAATTGGCAATAGCCGTCACTAGCAAACTGTAATGCCAGTCACTAAAATATTACATTCCAGAAAGTTAGTGTTGTGATACTGCATAAATTAGCATATATTCTTGTATTACGTGACTCATTGTTTTGTAGTCAGACCTCGCGGTCTTTCGGTCAGCCGCCATTAAAGTTGTTGAGTTGTGTTTAAGCTCGGTGTGCTTATGTTGATCGTAACAGTAAGCAGTTCTTCACAGATTCTGACCCAAAATTTCTTAAAAACTGACCGAAAAGTTCTGAGCCACAACAAAACTGATATTTTTATAGAATAGTTTAGTTGCTGCTAGCAATAAATTTTGTTGTTTTTAGTCTGCTATGATCAGACTTGTTTTTCATCTTTTAAGACAGGTAATATGTTTGGTGTGAAAGACCCTATCCCTTGTGGGCTCAGTACGTGTACGGTTTACAAGTTTTTATGTGCGGGCTGTAATGCCTGCTATGTCAGCGAAACCTCTCGGCATTTATTCACACATTTGCGTGAGCACTTGGTCAGTGATAGGACCTCTCACATTTTCAAACATTTACATAATTCTCCACAATGTCGCACTATATGTTCTGATGAGTGTTTTCGCGTCTTAGATCACCCTTCCACAACTTTCTAACTTAAAATCAAAGAAGAAATTGATGAGTTATCCCGTGTACTGTCAAACCTCGATACTCGGCTATTCACTTAAATACGAGAAGCTTGAATGAATATTTCGAACAAAGTTGCAATCTTCTGGATTTCATTTTATGCAAGTTTGATTTTATTGGTTGCTCCGAAACATGGTTCTGTCTGAAACTGATATGGGCTGACATGGTTTGATGCTACTCTGGCTTAAAGATTTAATGAATGTTACCGTTAAGTTACAATTCACAGACCCAACTTTGCGACGGTCCTGTTTAGTGCCTTCATTAGGGGTGATCCGACTAAGATCTTTGTGTCGCAAATAGTAAATTCAAGGCCGCTTGAGAAATATGCAGAGAAACATGCATCCTCAGGCACTCTCGCTGATCTTGCTTATATTCACTATGCCTTTCCTTTCCTATCCCGCCTGAATGAGCACAAGAAAACCGTTTGAGCCCCAATATTGCTGGTCAGCGGTAACGAAGCCCTCGTCCTGTTCATTGAGTAGCTACAGACTTTAATCATTGACCTTTTGCACATCTTTAACCGATCGAACGCCTGTTTTCATTAATGAACGCTTGAAGGATGCGTTCAAATCTCCTATGATGGATTCAAATGCAAGCGCCTGTTAAGGTTCTTCGATAGAAAACTATTACCGTTCTTTACAGGATATGAAACTGAACATGCGAAGCTCAACAGATCGAGGAAGCTGGAAGGAAGACTTATAAAGCCTTCATGCTGCTTTACGGCACTCGCTTTTCTTGTTTGAATCAATGTTAAGTCACGGATCAGTTTGCAAAGACCGCTCGAAGCTCAGAAAAACAACCAGCCATAAAGAACTGATTTGTTTAAGATCTGAAAGAAGATCGACAAGATCAGCAGCAAAAGGTTCTTCAAACGTATGGAGTCCTCAACACAATAATTGAAGAGCATCCCCGAAGCATGGCAACAGATCGAATACTCATTTAGATAAACAATTCAGAGTAAATCTGAATAAACATCGATGCTTTACCCACGTACCCAGCTTACCTAAACAAACTTGTATGCTGTCCAAAGTTTGCACCCATTTTGCTACCTCAGAAAACTATCGGCATAAAGATAAATTTGACCACATATTTGCGAGGTGTGTAAAGTAAGGTCAGCTGCATAACAGCGCCCAACATTTAGCACGTAAGCAAACATGGTGCAAAGATTATCTTTACCACTGAGCAAAAATGAGCGAAATTAGGCAAAAGAGAAATTTGTTTGATATTTGCTTAACATTTGCAACCCAGGCAAATCTATTTTTCCGTCCAGTGTTCATCACAACGGGTCCTGGTTAGTTAAGGGTCGGAACACTTATTTGAAGACAAAGTGAAAACTGAGTACCTTTAGCTTAGTTACCTTTGGCTTCATTATTTAGATCACTGCAAGCTCTCTCGTATTCTTCTTCCTCAATTTTTACTGTTAGTTCAACATTCTCCTCAGCTTCAGCAAGATGCTTAGCTCTGTCAGTCACCACGAAGTCGTACAGGCGTGCCTTGAGTGTGCCGTCCTGGTACATATTCCACAAGGTGTTGAGCCCCTTTGAAGTGTTTGCCTGAACTGTGAAGCAGACGCCCTCTTGACCCATGTCGGCGAGTTCTGTACCAGCGGGAAGAACCTGGTCACCAAAGCTTCCAAAAAACTGACTAACAGACTCCCAGTTGACCAAGATTTGAGCGAAAGTTAGCGCCTTTTCACCAACTTTGAACCACGTCTTCAAGGAAACTATTGAAAATAAAATTAAAACAAAATAAAAGGTAATTTTCAAAGAACGAATGTTCTTAGACACTCCGATAGTAAGTAAAGCCTTTATACAGGCCCAAGTGGCCCATGGGGCCGGTGCTTAACTCCAGTTTTCTTAGCATGAAGCAGCCAGGAGTATTGCTACTCCCCCTGGATGGGATGCTAGTCCATCGCAGGGTTACCCCCAGCACATTTGCTGGTACCCATTTGTACACCTGGGTGAAGAGAAGCACTGTGAGAGTAAAGTGTCTTGCCTAAGAACACAACACAATGACCCCGGCCAGGGCTCGAACTCGGACCACCCGATCCAAAGTCGAGCGCACTAACCGTGACGCCACCGCGCCTCCACAGTTCAGGAATAGAAGGAGTCGAATTCAAAGGTATGGAAAGAAATGAACGAAGACAACGCAGGTAAAAAATATTTTTCAGTTAGGATGGGGGTTTCTCACCTCAGTACTAGTCAGAAGATGTTACTGATGTTTATGATGCGGATGATGGAGATAAGAAATATGTGTATGGTCATTGGTTTTTGTAAATCTTATCTCTTGCAAATTAACTGTGCTAATGGAATGAATATAGTCTTTGCAGAACCTTAATAAAGAAATTTCCAATTCTAAAAGCAATTCTCGGGGGGGGGGGGCTTTTCGGTGTCAATCATCTAAAACTACACAGTAGGCTTTAGTATTTTTTCCTTAACTGGTGAGAGATTTTTATGTTCATTGCCTCGAATATAAATTAATGAGATTTGGGACAAGCTCTTCAGCCCTTTGAGAGAGTTTAGAGGACATGAAATGAGTTAGGGCAAACATCCCTTACCACCAGGACAGTAGCTTAGAAAAAGGTTATAAAGAACCTGAAACAGATCAGATCAGCTTTTCAAAGATGGATGAAGCTCCTATAAACAGTTCAATTCTCAGAGGATGCCGCAATTAACTCTTTCTCTATTTGTTTAGACGTTTGGCCTGATAGCCACACTTCTTAGTAAAGTGGGAATTACAAGCAAACAATCTACTGAACAACCATTTTACACTACTATTCTTTCCCCAAGACCAAACATTTGTATGCAACCCTGGGATCACGCATGAAATTAGCACAGCTACATTCAGACCAAGTTTAGCAAACGCTGAAGCTGGAAAAGGAGCCCAAAAGTATATAACAACAAAGGTTTTCTTTACATACAATCAACTCTCCTTTACAATTTATTCGTCAAACCGTATTTCCTGGGCACTACTGAAAGCTTCATCAAGGCAAGCTCTTTCTCAAACATGTAGATCAGTTCACTGAATGATATTCTCTTAGCAGACAAAGCAAGAAACAATAGTTAAAGGCAAATAAGGAAACATGGGTGCTGCATCCTTTACATAAACCTTTTGAAAACGAAAGCGAGTAGGCATAGAACGACTTCATGGCTACCCACCAGCATTCTATGCCTAGTTGAGAACTCTACAGGCCTGGGAACTCTAGGGAATAAAGACAGTCCAATAGCATCTTAAGAGCAGATTTACCGGCGTGCAGTCACCTACGTAAGTATGATAATGGTTAGTCCCCTGGACCCAGTAGTGCGAAGGGTGGATAACGCTATCCAGCGGATAATTGTCAACAAAATGTAATAGGCTATCCACCGGATAGCGATTTATCCAGTGGATAGCGTTATCCGACCTTTAAACAACCAGGGCCTGAAGTATGCCTATGCGCAGTGTCTGCTGTCGCACCACTTCATCATTGGAAATGACCGGCAAAGCCGTAGTGCTACACAGCAACGATTTCCAAATACATACAACATTCATTGGAAGTGCCTCAGTTATTATGTAAAAACTTCAGAAGGCTTTCTCCACTCAAAGATCACCTAAATTGGTTGTCTCTGGCAAACTTAATTAAGATATCACTTCATGATACCTTGTAAATTTTGATACACAGCAAACAACTATTTCATATGATCACGGAAAAAGTTTTTCTTACCTTGTACCGCCTTTTCGTAAACAACTCCGCCCCAAGAGAACACTTTCGCTGAAAATGAAAAGAATATCAGAACATAGTTATCATGAGAAACACCAGACACGATCTCTACCAAGGATCGAGGAAAACGTCGATGCTAAATCAGTTCAGTGGGTGCGAAAACATACGCAATGTTTTGCTATGAAATCTGCCCATATTTCTCGTATGCTCTTCCTAAACTAAATTCAGTCGTTTACTTTTTAATCAGATTGTGACATTTTACCATTTACTATCCCTTCTCACATAGCTAGAGAAACAAATCCTTTAATTGCATAGTTATCTTTCTCAAATGGAACCATTTGAGTCTCTCTGAATGGTTCATCTGTTCTGGGTGGGAGAGATAACACTGAGTCGGAGTGCCTACGAACACCTCGTTCCGGAGGTCGCTTTTGGTTACCTAACGGTGGTCAGAGAATCATTTTGATTATTTTTAGATCTATTGAAGTGTTCATACCTGACACACGCACACGCACACCCACGTACCCACCACACACGATAAGGGGAAGATGCAGGATTTAGTGAAGGGGAGTTCAGATGAAAGCGGACCATCTAAGAGCGGCTGGGGGTAAGCATCCCTCGGAAAATTTTTTAATGGGAGCAACAAGTAATATTTTCCTGGCATATCCAATTTAGGGTTTTTGTGAAAAAACTGCAAGTGTTTTCAGGTTTTCATTTCAGTTTAGGAGGTTCGGCCGAACCACCCGAACAACCGTAGATCCGCCAAAGAAATTCACCACAAATTTGAACGCCATGGTTTGCAATTAAAGAACTGAATTCTCTTCCATATTTCGTGTCCCTTATTTCAGTGATTGAATATTAACCTGAATGCCGAAAATAGAATGGGATGTCAAAGTTTAAGTCCCTTAATGGTATTGCTTCGGAAATTAAAAGTGAAAAATTGCCAGCAACAATAACGTCGAGTCGAACAAGGCAATGATCCTATTCCACAGTTAATTGTTTGGCCAATAAATTATATCTATCTGATTTACTCAAAACAGTCCTTGTTCATAACTTAATTTTGTTGAAGCATCACCAAAGCTGTGCTTAAAATTCCTACAGTTCAACAACCAAAACAAAATTAAGCGGGAAATATAATAGGCCAATGAGACTGACCAAACCCTAAGCCCAAGTTGGCAAATCAAAATGAACGAGATTGCAAGTGGGTAGGTTACTCATGTATTCACTGCTTCAGCCTGCAAAAGGATAATGATTGTAATTGACTGGTCCAAGTCGGAAATGTTCTCTTTCGCTATTCAATAATCTATGATCTATCACTGTTAATTTATGAAGCAAAATTTGACAACAAAGTTGTTTAAGTATACAATAACGCAAATTGAGCCAAAATCGAGTAATCCATACAGTGGTAGTTTTCATTAATTTTTGCTATTGAAGCAATAACCCCAGAGGAGATCGGCCTGCGAGCGTACAAAAGATGCAGAATAAAAAGATCCCCAGCACCCAGAAGAAAAACATTGATCAAAAAATGCTTCGTTTACTTCATACCCAGGCGGTGTGCGCACTCCGATTGCGTTGCATTTTGGTAGCGTTATTTAAATATGGCGGTGAAAGCGGCAGAATTCGAAATCGGCAGATTTTGACTGAACGTTTCGTAAAGTTAGGCCGTTCCTTTTTTCTTTCACCATAGATACATGAACTTTGATTGATTCTGAATGTGTAGAAGCACAGGCCACCCAAGCTCTAGCTAGGAGATGATCATCTTTCGCAAAAGCAGTCATGGCGGAATTAGAAGAGATTGTCTGGGAATATTTACGACCGCTCTAAGGAATAAAAAATACAGTCAAATTCTCAATAAAAATACCTCACCTTACTTCCATAGCGTATCACTTGTTATCTGACCGCTTACTTAGGTGAAAAGAACCCATTTTAATGATTTGTCCATTTTAAGGTCTTCTACGCACATAGGGAAAGCCCAAGGCTGAACACTCCATTTCCGAACGCCCAATCCGAGTAGCGAAAAAATAGCGGGCAAAATAACCGTGCGGCCACAAATTCAATGCAGATGCATATGTGCTTGGACTCTGCGTTGGATTTGTGCTACCGGCTTGCGCTTAAATTGTAAGATTCAATGACACATTGTTAAATTCAGTGACAAATTAGGTAGGAGAATTATAATAAACTAACAGAATTGGATTTAAATTTTGAGTTCTGATCAATACATTGCATATTATGCTCACTCGATGGACGTTATTTGAGCAAAGACTCTTAGATACTTTCCCGCAAAAAATGCGGGAAAATATGAATTGCAGAGGATCGAAAAATCGTTACCTTTCCTTCTTTCAAGTTCATCCTCATCAATTCGTCGCTTCTCGAAATCCTGAACTTTCTTCACCAGATCTTGTCTCTCAATTCCCAATAAAATCCCTTTCAAGAAATCAAGACGACCAAACGCAAAAAGTCCTCGGCGTTCAAGTTTTTCGAACAAAATTAGAGCAGTTTGAGTGTTTCTTTCATTTTCGTCCAACGTTTCCTTCGCGGTGCAGACAGAAATAAGCTGCTGCAGTTGATTGCTTTCGTCGAGAGCACGGCTGATCTGTTCAAGCAATTCTTTGTATTCTTTCCTTTTGTCCTCGAACTTTTTCACTTTCTGAAACAACGACCATTCTTTGACCCCTTCTAGCAGCTCTTTCAATAGCGCAACTCGATCAATGGCCAAATAATTTTGTTCTTCTAGCTCTTGAAAGAGCGAAAGTGCATCGGGAATGTCTTCAGCTCTAGACGTCACACATCCTCTACACATGAAGAGTAACTGTCCATGTTGGTTCAGTAGATCGAGTCGTTGGCTGATCTCAAAAAGAAGTTGATTATATTCTACGTAAGACATTTTAGCTGTCGTTGCTTTGCATCTAAAATACTAGCATTTCGATCGAGCGCAGTTCGGTTTTGGCATTTCATGTAAATTTACAACATGGCGGAAGAGTTTCGTTCGGTCAGCATTAGATTCCATCCACCAAAACCACCTCGGTCGAGAGGGACTGAGATGGAATATTTAATGACTTGTAAAACATAACCGAAGATTCTCGGAAATCCGTAAGTGATGTAGCCGAACATCCGAAGCTGTAAATGATTCTTGAGGAACAAACAGAAACAACATAGCGAGAATTTTAAGTCGCGAACCATTGCTTGATGGTAGACATGCAGATAATTAAGGATACGTCAATTCTGTTGATGAGGCGCATAAACTTATTGCGGAATTGAAACAGGATTGACGACGAAGTTTTCTTTCTTTAAAGCTGTCAAAGCTTTCGGGAACACTGGTGTATATATATATATATATATATATATATATTGATATAGCTCTTTCGTATTACAAAGCTTTGCTATCGCTATTGTGCATTCTCACTAGTTTGGATGATACCACAATTGTGGAATCATTCGGGTTAACTTAATGCTTACACCTCCTTCCTCGGACAGAAGTCACAAAATACTCGGGGAAGATGCATGAGATATTTAAGGAGCAAAAATTCGATTTTACTGGTGTGCCTTTCCTAATTTTGGGAAGGAAAGTGTTCAATTGCCAGCATGGCATAGATAAAACAGCTGGAGAGAAAAGGAAACGAAAAGATGCAGAAGAATTACTGTATATAATAATTTCTTTTTATCCTCAACCTTTGTGTTACTGTCAACTATGGCTTGCTAATTCGAAAGGTCAAATACATGAATGGGTCATATGACATTGATCTCAGAATACTTTTTATGACAAACGTGATAACAGTTCAATATTGGCTAAATTGAAGATAGTTTAGAAGTTAACAATTATAAGAACTTTTCACTAACATATGCTGCTGACAAAGGAGAAAATATATGCAATTCTGCATTTTTTGCTTTCTATCAAGCAGTCATATGTTGGCTCCTTATCACGCTATGACACTTCCGTTTTGTCACATTCCAAAAAACTTGAGAAATACACCGTCACTCATCTTACACTGTTATATTTACCTATTACAGAAGGCTGGAAACAAAGATTTTGTTTTCAAGAAAATAAGATTTCTTGTCTAAGACACAAGGAAGTTTGACTGCAAACACAGATAAAAATGCAAGAAATTTTATTTTTTTCAGAGAACAAGGTAGTTCTACTCATGTATAAACAGAACAAATCCGGTTTAATAAATCAGATATGCAGCACGACTCCTTTTCTTCCATCCCCACTCAAAACAAGCAAACACACCTATAGAGGTTCCAGTCTGGTCTGCAAATGAAAAGGAGGAAGGTGATCAATGCAAAATTAAGCATTAGGGTTCTTATTTATAACATATTGATTATTGTAAACTGATATCAAGAAATTAAGGTTGCAAGTAGCAGCCAGCTGACTTATAGTTTGAGTTTTATCAAGTCCATTACTTTGTTAAATATAGAGTAACCTTGTCTTGAGAGAGGGAAATTGAGGAGCTGTAATATACTTATCATCAATTAGAGACCAGAAAGAAAAATTTATTTATAGAGACTTTTGAAGGAGAGGGGTAAGACTTCTGAAAAGCTGGCAGACATATAGATAAACTTTACTGCTAAATGGGTTACAATATAAAGTGCTCA